TCTAGAAACTTCTAGTCTGGTGGGGGATGATCTTTTAAAATACCTCTGGCCTTTGCTCAGGTAACTATTATCTAATCTGTATTAACCACAAACATTTTTCATTAGCATGAAATTTTCCCTAAACTTTGGAGATTCAGCCTGCACGCTCATCCTAACACTGTTTTTCCCAGCCTCGATACCTGCAGAAAGCAGGGGTTTCTCTTCTCATTTGGCTTACATCCACTGCCCTGTAATTTGATTCTTCCTCTTCATCCCTGGACTCTGTCTTTTCTTCTCAAACAAGAGGGACTGCTTTGGTTTTGACCAAGCCCTTCATCTTCCTGAATTCCTCCGCTACATCGTTTCTAACGCTTCCCTTTTCCAACATAAATAGTCCTTGCTTGCTCATTGTCCCACCCTGCCTCACCTCTGGCTCCAATTAGAGCAATATTTATTTTTCCCTTTTAAGAATCTCTCTAGCCTCGACTCTTCAGAAATGAGGCAACCCAGCTCGTGTTAAAAGCCCTTTATTATGGTCACAGAAAATCTGCTCTGACAAGATCTACCTCGACAAGATTGTGTTCCTGGAGATCCTTCTCTCGTTTTATCTGTCATCTCACTTTCTAGGTCACATCATTTCCTAGCATCTAAAGTGTTGTCTGTTTATATATATTTTAAAGAAACGGAGGGGTGGAATGTAGACTGAGTGCCTGGTGTGCTGGAGTGAGGAAGAGCCTCTTCTAATACCATTGGGCAAGGCACTCTGCCATCTTCTGGAGAAGGAAGAGGAACAAACACACACATAACCTCTTTTGGTTTGGATTTGATGGGGATTTTAGTTAAGACAGCCAATAGCACCCCAAAGCCCAAATGTAGACTTGGGATGGTAAAACTAGGACTCGGGTCCAACCCTCAGGGAAGTAATATGAATACCTGCTGGAATCTTCCAAAAGCACAGACACTTCGAGGGACTTGGGGCCATAAGAACTCTGGGATGATCCTACGGGTGCCACCCCCTAAGAAAACAGTCAACAGTAAATCAGCTTGCATCAGGTTGGCGTGATATCATCATACTAATGTGTTGTTCTTCAGTCCAGTCTGTCACCTCGCTTATACTAATACTGATATCTGTTTGAGTGTTTAGTAGCTTCCTGCCATGTACTAAGCAGGTGACAAGTACTATTATAGGTACTCTTCACAGCTGCACTCAAAGGGAGGTTCTAGTATTACCATCCCCATGTATAATGAGGAAACTGAGGCCCCGTGGGCTTAAATAACTTGCCTGAACATTCAAAGTGAGTAAAGAGCAGTCAGGATATGAACTTGGGTAGTGTACAGGCTCTTTGCTCAGCTCAGTTAGTGTTATGGACTGAATTTGCACCCCCTCACCATGAAGATATGTTGTAATCTACCCTCAGTCTCTCAGAGACTTTAAGGATAAAATCTTTGCATAGGTGACCAAATTAAAGTTAGGTCACTGGGGTAATCCAATATGACTGGTGTCCTTACAAAAAGGGGGAATTTGGACACAGAGGCAGACATGCATAGAGAGAAGATAATACAAAGACACAGGGAAGAAAATGGCCATCTATAAGCCAAGGACAGAGGCCTGGAACAGATTCTTCCTCACAGCCCTCAGAAGGAACCAACTCTGTCAACACCTTAATTTCAGACTTCTGGCCCCCAGAACTGTGAGACAATACATTTCTGTTGTCAAAGCCTTCTAATCTGTGGTACTTTGTCTGGAAGCCCTAGTAAAATAACAGAGTCACTGATCCTCATTGTAAAGCAAAGACACTCTAAAATTCATTTAACAAAAACTCTTGGTTTCTCTTTCAATGTGATCATTTATCTGCCTAGGGTTCATTCAAATACTCTTAAATCCTAGGTCTGCCGGGTCTGGACTAACAGGGGCTAAAGTATTCTTAGGCAAGGGTGAGTAGTATGCGCCCAGATTCTGTGCAGCAGCAGCAGGGCCCAGAGTAAGCTCGGGACTCCACTGAGTTTGGGTGGAAGGCTGCCAGTGTTTCCAGAACACTCTCACCGGCAGGGGCAAGTCCCCCTGGTTTGCATAAAGGAGAGAGCTCTGTGTAATTTTAGAGTCAGCACCTTGAGGAATACTCAAGAAGGGCCTCCTCCTAGCCACCAGTCTTGTGCCTGGGTCTTCAAGAGAGGGGGCTGTGGGTGAACAGTGTGAGAGTAAACTTACACATAGCATCTAAGTAGCATGCTGCTTACAGATAAATCCCCTATTAATCAAACATGTTGACTATAACTGGCTGGGGTTTCCACCAGAGTGTGTGTTTCATCAGCTGTGGATTCAGGGCCAGATTCTTAGAGGAGTTAATTGAGCCTTAGCATCTTAATAAAGCAGTATCTGATATCCTCTGATTAAACAGTGTTGGTCAACTCGACACTTGTTCTTTCTCTGCTCTTCCTTCTCTCCTTCCTTCCTTCCTTCCTTTCTTACTTATCTATCTGATCCGGGTATGTCCTTTGCATATTTCCATTCCAATATGCTTGTATTCATAAGAAGGTGTTTTAGGTTCCAAGGGTTGCCATAACAAATTACCAAAAATTTGCTGGTGAAAACAATGGAAATGTATTCTCTTGTTGTTCTGGAGACCAGGTATCCTAAATCAAGGCGTCAGCATGGAAGGTTCCTTCTTGGGGGCTCAGAGGGATATTGTGTTCAGCGTCTCTCTCCTAGCTACAGGTCGTTACCAGCAGTCCCTTGCTGGCTCTCCTTGGTTAGAGGCAGCATAACTGCTAGTTCTGCCTCCATTGTCACATGGCATTTCCGGGTGTGTCTCTGTGCCCAGATTTCCTCCTTCTTATAAGGGCACAAGTCATGTTGGATTTAGGGCCCAAACTAACCCAATGTGACCTCAACTTAACTTGATTACATCTGTAAAGATTCTATTTACAAATAAGGTCATATTCACACGTTCCAGGTGGACTTGAACTAACTTTTGGGGGACACTATTCAACCCTGGGCAGAGGGCAATTACCATCAAACATGTAGTCAATCCCCTTGCTCCCTTCCATGGGCCCCTTCTAGAAGCCTCTCAGATCAAAACCAGCGTCATGGACAGGACAGCAAGGCTAGCTGGCTTCCAGAGTATCTTGCCTCTACCACTCAGAATCAGCTTATATCTGGGGATAGGACCTGAGTTGAAAGTTCAAGTCCCCAAACAATAATGAAATGTGAATTCTGCTCAAGAAGGAATTCCACCATGTTGTCACCCTAGGATATCACAAAATTTTCAGGGGGCAGTTGTGCCTGCCATAGTGTAGATGAGCCACTTAGATGCTCCTACAGACCACCTGCTTTCTGTTTGCTTGGGGTCTGGTTGCCAAGTCAGCTCACAGACCCTGGATGTTATTTATTTTGCTCTCTTTGGCAACACTGAATCATATGATAGGAATCTAGAGGAGAATGACTGGGTGAATTTGTGGCATTTATTTTTAAGACTGGTGGAGTCCAGCGAATATCTAGTATTGTCTGCTTTCTTTTTTGTTCTTTTTCTCTTTTAAAGAAAATATAAATTTACAGTTGTTAACATGGAAAGCTGTCTAAAAGCTATTATGTTGGGAAAAAAAAGTAGGTGGCAAAAAGTACATATAACTTGATCCCCATTGTGTGCAAAATAAATATGGGAATACATTTAGAAGTAATAAAATAACAATAATAATAACAAATATTGAACAGTTTACTCTGTGCTACCCTATTACAAACATTTTATATATTTTAATCCTCACACAGCCCCATGGAGGTCCTATTTTTATCCTACTTTAGAACTTTCAATAGAGTTGACTAATCTCCTACATATTAAGTATGACAATATTGATATTCACAAATCAAAGGGAAAGGAAAGAGTTTCACTTAAATATTTAAAAATAGAAATTAGGGGTGCCTGGGTGGCTCAGTCATTAAGCGTCTGACTTTGGCTCGGGTCGTGGTCCCAGGGTCCTGGGATCAAGACCCACATCAGGCTCCCTGCTCTGCTGGGAAGCCTGCTTCTCCCTCTTCCACACCCCTTGTATTCCCTCTCTTGCTGTGTCTCTCTCTATCAAATAAATAAATAAAAATCTTAAAAAAAATAAAAACAGAAATTAAATCCTGTGACTCTATAGAAAATCATAAATATAAATTTCACATACTCTTCTACATGTTTTTAATTTTACTGTACTTTGGGGTCTTGGAGCTGGGGCCATATTTGATTCTTCCCCATGTATAAACTACTTTACTTGGGAAAGTACATGGTTTTTGAACTCATATTCCCATCCTTTGATCCATTCAGTTGTTGGCCATTCTCTCATCAGATTAAAAAGAAAACAACCTCGTGGGGGGAAAGGGGTTAAGAGCTGCTCAGAGTTTCGTGGGGAACAGCCAATTCCTTCATTTCCAAGATCTGCTGTGTACTTCCTGCTTCTCTCACTGGGGGCAAATAAAAAACAGGAGATTTAAGAGACAAATTATCCCTGAGAAAGCCCCCTAGAACAGAGTAAAAATAATTGAAAAATGATAACAAGTGGCTGAAATGTTTGGAGAGATAAATGTGATTTATCATATAGCACATAAGCACAGACGTGAAATTGTAGCTGCAGACTTCCCTTAACATCTGGGTGACCTTCAGAGCATCCATAAAACTTCCACCACACGCAAACACCCATGCTTTTCTGGTGGGAGACGAACCCTGATTTGTGTTCTACTTCCTCAGATGCACCTTTTAATTTTTCCTGTTTTGTATTGAAATCCATCTGGAGAGGCATTTCTTAAGAACTTGAGCAAAAGCTGAAAACAAAAGTGGTTCTGAATCCATACACTGTGAAGTCAAGGCTATCTATGTTTTTGAGTCTTCATGTATGGAGATGTGAAAGATTGCTTTATGTAAGACATGTTTTCTTCTCAATATATTTGCTGAAGAAAGAGGGGAGGAAAGAACATATGCTTATTGGTTCATTGTTATCAGTGAGTTAGTTTTAAGTTTCTGTCGCACTATTTTCTCTTCTTATAGCTGATTTTCTCACCATTCTGCGACAGAATATGAGACAAGCACCGCCATGAAAGAGATAAAAGTTTCCAAGAACAGCCTAGTGCTCTTTGGTATGGAAATGGGGGGTTTATGCTTCTTTGAGGTTTGTTTTTTTTTTTAAGTTTAGCAGCCAAGAATTCAAGAGTTAAGGCTGATAAAACTGCATTAAGATTATCTCACCTGCCCAAGTGTGGGAGAAAACATGAGTCCAGAATAAATTGCTTTTCTCAAAATAGAAAGACTTTTCTGGTTTTATTTGGCCTGGGAACAAAGCTGAAAGGTAGGTGGGGCTTCCCTTCCAACATCTGCTTCTTGGATTGCTGGAAGCTCAGAAACTGGGAATCCCCCAAGCACCTTTATGGATGAGGTGAGGATTTAAGCTCCCCACAAAGAGCAGGGGGCAGGACATGGGGCACAGGCTGCACCGGGGCAGCTCCTGCATCCTGCCTGAAGCTCAGACTCACGTAACATCAAAAATACTGATTCAAGACCTGGCACCTCTCTTGAACAGAATGGGGCCCCAATCAATATTGCTGAATCACAATCTAACAGATGTAGCTGTAAGTGTTTTAAAGACACCATACTTTCCACAAACAAAAATGTTTTTCATTAAACCAATACCAATCCCAACAAGTGTGCTAAGGGTGCACATTATATACAGTATTTGGTAACCATGTCACTGTTGCCATCCCCATTGTGGCCTGTCATGCAGGCCTGTCCTGTGACATACATGTCACTAACACACAGTGTCTATCACACTGGCGTGCAGGATCACCAAACCCACCTGCGGCTAGAACTCCTTGGGTTCTTTCCAAATCAACATCTCTAAATTCCCTCACTGTTCAGGTGAACCGATTTCTCAACACCTTTTAGCGTACATCTTCCAAACCCACCATCTTTCCAAACCAGTCCTGTTAACCAGAAATCAATTCTGAAACATTGTTTAAAATTTTAATTTACAATTTAACTGCGCATACCATGGGATCATAGACCAAAAGCCCAAATGGAAAATAATATTTTTAAAAAACAGCTCTGGGTAAGAATGACCTTGTAAAAATGTATTTTGCACATGTTCCATTGGTGAATTTTTGCTGTCCTTTTTTTTTTTTTTTTTAAATGGGAAGCCGTCATTTTAGGGGATAATACAGTAACCTCAGTTAATTCATATGCTGCTGTTCAATCGGAGTCTGAAAGCTGAAGGCCACAAGGTTGTGCTGTAATGGAAAAAAGCTTTTTAACTAAAAGCTAGGAGACCTGGGTTCTAATATCAGCTGTATGCTGCCTCGCTGTGAGACAGTGGACGAGTCGCTTAACCTGCCTGTGTCTCAGTTCCTTCATCTCTAAAATGGGGATAATGGCCCTGTCCTCGCACTCCTGGGGTTCTTGTAAAGACAAAAAGCGGTGATGGAATTTGAAGCTCCTCATGAATGAGGAACACTGTACATTTGCCATGTGCTTGCCATCGTACCGTTTTATCCGTGCCGCCATCAGACCCCAGGCAGCCTGGCTTTGCTTCAGGGCAAAGGAAGCTGCTCAGTACAGGGCTGGTGAGCCTGGGCATTGAGTCTGACCAGCCTGAAGCTTGAATTCTGGCTTCCCAATTTCTAAGCTGAGTGACCTTGGGCAAACTGAATAACCTGTCTAACTCTCAGCAGCTGCATCTGTGAAATGGGCATAACGATATCTATCTCTTTGGGCTGCTGGGAGGCCTACATGTGTCATGGAGACGAAGTACACCCAGTGACGGCTTAGGAATAGCATCATCATACTTTTGGGGCCTAGTCATTTAAGATTTTTTTTTTTTTTTAAGTAGGCTCCATGTCCAGTGTCGAGCCCAGTGCAGGGCTTGAACACACAACTCTGAGATCAAGACCCCAGCTGAGATCAAGAGCAGACATTTAACTGACTGAGCCACCAGGCACCCCAGGACAACAGGCAAAGGTGATTTTGTGAGCATGCAGTTCACTGGAATGGATGCCTTAAATCTTAGCATGAACAAGTCTATTCTGAACATGGACTATGTGGAGCTGCCCAAATAGTTATTAATGACTCTGGGCTTAAAACACGAAGTTAAGAAATTTTGAAAACAGAGAATCTTGAAAATTCTTTGCATTTGCCTTAAAAATCTGACTGTAGCAAAGTTTATGTAGTAGAGTATATGTTCAGATTCTTAATAACAACATATATACTTATTTTATATATACATACCTATTTGTAGCATATACTTCAAATGCTAGTAATACATACTAATAGTATATTGACATACTTATTTTTAGTAAGATATATATATATTCATATTCAATAAACATTGACTATAATTCAGTGCTTCTACTGTTTTCTGCATGCAGTTAGTTCTCAGGTTCCCATTTAGATCCTCAAACTAGTCTTCTCCATCAAGTTCCAGAGCAATAGTTCCAACTTTGTGCTAGAAAACAGTTGTCAAAAATTCATGCAGCAAATATATATTGAGGGCCTACTGTGTGCCATTCAAGCACACAGGGAGCTTGCATTGCGATAGGAGATGCAGAAGAATAAGTGGATGACTAGGGTGTGAGCAGAGCCACACTGCCTTGGTAGGGGGTAGGACAAAGCCTTCCAGAGAAAGTGAGGTATAAGCTGACATAGGTGGTGAAGTCAATCAGGTGTTGGGGGGGTGTTTAGAAGAGCATTCAAACAGAAGGAACAGCCTGTGTAGTGACCTTAAGGCAAGAAAAAACTTACTGAAGTGACTGGAGAAGCAGTTGTTTAGTGTGGAACAAGATGATCAGATTTCACACTGTAGAAAATCTCTCTGGGAACTATGTATATTTGAAAAAGGCAAAGACTGGAAGTAGGGAGAAGGTAGGAGGCAGTGAGGTACTCTAGGCAAGAGATGATGGATGGTGCTTGTTGAGAGCCAGAGAGTGCAATGGAGAGGGAGAGAAGCCGGTGGATTTAGAAGAGTGAGAGCCCACAAGGAAGTGTAAACAAATTAGTTGTGGTCTTAAGCAGCTAGGACTGGAAATAGAGATTTGAAAATCACCATAGGAATCATGAAAATAAGTAAGACCACCCAGAGAGAGTATAGAATGAGAGGAAAAAAGGGTCAAGAATGGAATTCGGATAAATGTCAAAGTTTAACTGATGACAAAGGAAATGGAGCAAAGGTGCAACTAGAGAAGTAGAGAGAAATCAGAAAAGGGTAATTATCTAGAAGCCAATGCAAGAGAGTTCTTCAAGGAAGGAAAAACATTAGTGTCAAAAACCCAAGAATAAAGGGGCTCCTGGGTGGCTCAGTTAAGCATCTGACTTGATTTCAGTTCAAGTCATGATCTCAGGGTCATGAGATTGAGCCCCTCACCACGCTCCATGCTCAGTGCAGAGACTGCTTGAGACTCTCTCTTTCCCTCTGTCCTTCCCCCTGCTCATTCTCTCTAAATAAATAAAGTCTTAAAAAAAAACAAAACCAAGAATAGGCAATGGGGAATTTACTTGCACATCAATGTTCACAGCAGCATTAGTCAGAATAGCCAAAAGGTAGAAACAACCCAAGATCCCATCAAAGGATAGATGGAAGAACAAAATATAATGGAATATTATTCAACCTTAAAAAGGAAGGAGAAACCCTGACACATGCTAAACATGGATGTTTAAGGACATTATGTTAAGTAAAATAAGCTAATCCCAAAAGGACAAAAACTGTATGATTCCACTTACATGACATAGCTAGAGTAGCCAAATTCATAAAGACAGAAAATAGAACTGTAGTTGCCAGGGGCTAGGGAGAAAAAGGAGGGGGAGAGTTATTGTTGAGTGGATACAGAGTTTCAGTTTTACAAAATGAAAAGAGTTCTGGAGAAGATGGTGATGCACAACAATGTGACATGCTGAAGCATACATTTAAAAATGGCTACAATGATGGGGATCCTGGCTGGTTCAGTTGGTGGAGCAACGGACTCTTGATCTTGGGGTTGTGAGTTCAAGCCCCACATTGGGCGTAGAGATGGCTTTAAATAAATAAATAAATAAATTTTTAAAAATGACTAAGATGGTAAACTTTGTTTTGTGTATTTCACAATAAAAAAGATACATAAGCAATAACTGAAAAAAAAAGAATTGTAGAGATAGTTACACAATTCTGTGAATATACTAATTGGACATTTTAAATGAATATATTGTATGGTATATAAATAATATCTCAATCAATCTGTTAAAAACAAAAACCCAAGTGTAGTCAAGTAAGAAGAGAACTGATCAATGTTCATATGACAGTGGGAATAATTGATCATTTCAGGTTCCAAGGGGGTTCAGGTGCATGGGGCAGGAGGGAAAGGGAGAGAGCAGGGTCAGATGCAGGCCAGTTTGTCGCCAGGATGACAAGAAGCTGAAGGAATTCTGATTTGATGATTTCAAGGATTCTTGGCAAAGTTGGAGGCTGAGAATGAGGAGGAAAATGGTGGAACAGGAGGAAATCTGAGGAATGTGGAGAAGGCCTGAAATAGCTCCTCAGAGAATGAGAGAGAGAACCGATGGGCAAAGGCCTTGATATGGTTAAAAGTATGCATTTGTAGTGTTTCCAATATGGGAAGCCCTCACAATCCATTTGCTGGGGAATCAGACTCTCTGATTTCTCTCCTCAAATGCCTTCTTCTTGAGACTTTCTTACTTTCTTTTCTCCACCCTCCACCCAAAGTCATGTTCCTCTGAGGAACAACCATCATCTTGCTCCAGGCTGTTCCATGTTTGCTGCCATCACCCTATTTGAGGCCCTTGTCTGAACTATCACATTAAACCCAGCAAACTCCACTGAAGAGTCTCGCAGAAGCACAATTCCAATCATTTCATCTCTTCACAACTGGCTACCAAAGGCTGTATGATGTCCTCAACCCATTGACCAGGTTTTCTATGATAGACCCCAACCATACTTGACAGGCTCGACTCCTCACTCTCCCTCAGCACACCCTAATCCAGAGTCACATTGACTATTTGCTGTTCCTAGGTTTCTGCATGGTATTCACTCTCTCTAGACCAAAATGCTCTCTCCACTCACCTCTACACGGTAAAATCTTATCCACCATTCAAGATCAATTTCTTTTCAAAACTTAAATGATTCCCTGAACTGGTTCTATCCCAGGACTGGAGTTAACCTTTCTTTTCCATGGTTCTTTGCTAATATTTCTCTTATTCCATCAATTCCCATCCTTTATGTGAACTAATCAGGAACAGAGACAGTGCCTTATATGGAGTAAGTGCTGAATAAGCATTTAGTATATTGAGTTACAATAAATTAATGAAGTGAAGAGAAGCCATGTCTGAGTAGGACTTCAAGGAGTCCTCTTAACCAATCTGGCAGAAACAGATGAGCCTATGAGCTCTGTTTTCCCCAAAACATATCTTTTTAATGCATTTGCTACATTTTTTTTATTGTGGTAAAACATATATATAATATAAAATTTATCATTTTAACCATTTGCAAGTGTACAATTCAGTGCCATTAAATATATCCAAAATACCATGTACCCATCACCACTGTCTACACCCAAACCTTTTTCATCATCCCCAGCATAAACTCTGGATACATTGAATAATAACTCCCCTTCCCCCAGCCTCTACCCTGTGTAACTTTTATGGTACTTTCTGTCTCTATGAACTTGCTTGTTCTCATTACCTCATATAAGTAGAATCGTACACAATTTGTTCTTCTGTGTCTGGTGTATTTCACTAAGCATAATGTTTTTGAGGTCCATCTATGCTGTAGCATGTGTCAAAATTTCATTCCTTTATCTGACTGAAGTGTATTCCATCACGTGTAATATACTACATTTTGTATATCTATTTATCTGTTGACATTCGCCATCTTCTGGCTCTTGTGAATAATGTTGCTATTAACATTGGTATGCAAGTATCTCTCTGAGTCCCTGCTTTCAGTCCTTTTGAATATACATCTAGGAGTGGAATTTCTGGGTTATATGTAGTTCTATGTTTAACTTTTTGAGGATCTGCCAAATTGCTTTCCATAGCGGCTGCACCATTTTACATTCTCAACAGCAGTGCACAAGGTTTCAATTTCTCTACATCCTCACCAACACTTGTTGTTTTCCTTTAAAAAAAAAAAAAATTATAGCTGCCCTAGAAGGTGTGAAATAGGATCTCTCTGTGGTTTTGATTTGCATTCCTCTAATGATGTTGAACATCTTTTCATGTGCTTATTGGGCATTTGTAAATCTTCTTTGGAGAAATGTCTACTTAAGTCCTATTTTTGAATTAGATTGTTTTCTTTTTGTTGTTGTTTGGTTGTTGTTGCAAGTGCCTTTTGGGGGCACCTGGCTGACTCAGTCAGAAGACCATGTGACTCTTGATTTCAGGGTCATGAGTTTGAGCCCCATGTTGGGTGTAGAGATTACTAAAATAATAATAATAATAATAATAATAAGCTTTAAAAAAAGTGCCTTCTTTTTTTAAAAAGGTGTCTCAGAAACATACAACATAGAAATGACTCAAGTTACCTCATGCTTGGTGAGAACCAACAATCTAGTATGGAAAATTTCCATTTACTATCGAGCTCCCAAATAAACATATCATTTTCTCTGTATTGTTTTTATTTATTCAAGTGTTGGAATTTTCTTAGATCCCGAGAATTCCTTCATTGGGATACTTGAATCAGGCCTTCCAGGCAGCAGCCTAGAATACCAATCTGTGTATGCCATTTCAACATCACAGAATAATCTGGAAATATGATGTTGGTTAACTCAGATTTCACCCAGGACTCAATGTAGCTTGCAGAAATATAAATTAGTCCCTATTATAGGGTAAATTATATCCCCCCCCAAATTTATATGAAGTCCTAATTTATTTGGAGATAGGGTCTTTAAAGAAATGATCAAGTTAAAACAAAGTCTCTAGGGTGAGCAATATCCATTATGGCTGGTGTTCTCATAAAAAAGGGAAATTTGAATACAGATATGCCCAAAGGAAGAACACCACATGAAGGTGAAACCAGAGATTGAGAAAATGCTTCCACAAGCCAAGGAAGGCCAAAGATTGCTGGCAAACTACCAGTAGCTAGGAAGCCAGGAGAGAAACATGGAACAGATTCACCCTCAAAGCCTCAAGAGGAACCAACACTGCTGACACCTTGACCTTTCCTTCAGTTTCCACAACTGTGAGACAATACATTTCTGTTGTTTAAGCTGCCCAGTGTGTAACGCTTTGTCAAGGCCACCCTAGCAAACCAATCCCTGCATCAATAGACAATTGTCTGGAAAGGAAATTTTAGAAGAAATCCCTGGTAGCATGTGGGAGTTGTCTGGTAAGGATGAATGGGACAGTTCCAGATCTTGATTATAGAGGTGGTTACACAAATCTACAAGTGGAATAAAATTGCATAGAACTACACACACACACACACACACACACACACACACACACACAATCAAATGAGTGTAGGTTTTTAAAATGGTGAAAATTGAATAAGGTCTGTAGTCTAGTTAACAGAAATATACCAATGTTCATTTTCTGGTTTTGATATTATACCATAGCTGCACAAGATATCCCCTTTGGGGGAAGGTGGGGGAAGGGTACATAGGATATTTAGTGTTTTTACAAATTCTTGTGCATCTGTCATTATTTCAAAATAAAAGATTTTGAACAAAAATATTTGGAACGACATTTCTCACCAATGTTGTTCTCTTGAGTATCTTTGCGCTGCATCCATATAAGCTGCACACTGACAGAGATACCCCCCGAAGGTCAGTCAGCTGATGGTCACATTCAGGGAAATTCTAAAATTACATAATAGCACACAATAGCACAGTGCTATGATCAGGAACAAGTGATATATTTTATCTAAATTTTAAATACTTTAAGACTTCTCCAGAGAGTGGTCAAGTTCAGAAAATCACTAAAAACAAAAACAGAAAAGAGGACAAGAACAGAAAGGTTAGAAAACATTATATTGGATTTCTTTCAGAGCAGTGCTCCTGCTTCAGCCAGTAGAAGTGAATTAGTAAGAAAATTGGCCTGTGACTACAGTTTTTATTTCTGGAAAATCAGTGTCTTCCACATCCTATTAAATTCAAGGTAAGCAATTTTTTAAAAATATTATTTTAAAGGGAAGTCAAATGACTGGCATGCCTGGGGTGATTTCATGACCCTAAACCCAGCTCTGGAGGTACTTAGAAGCTTTTAAAAACAACATGTCTTTAATAAAACAAGTTGGATGTGGGTGCAGAGGCATGTGAGGGTCAGATTGTTGAGAGATCCTGATTCTTCTTGGCTCTGTCATCCCAGGGCTCTCTCTCATCTCCCCTTTTGCTTGCTTGCTTTCTCCTCTTTCCACCCCTCTATTTTCTTATTCATCGTGTCATGAAGGGATGCTTGCAAAGGGTCAATTCCACCCAGCATGGTTCTAGTGGAGATACAAATCACCATCAGCAGCAACTACGAGAAGCAGAGAAAAATTATAGGATGCTTTTCTCAAAGGGAGTTTCAGAAATAGAATATGTCACAAGCATCCCGAAGATTGAGACTTGATCAACACTTGAAGGGAATGAAGCCACAACTCCTGGGGCTGTGTCTTTGGTCAAAGGTAGCCATTATCCTGGGACGATTAACTCCAGTGTCTTCACTGAAAACAGGTTCTTCTCCATTTGTCAGATGGAAAAATGAAATTCTTCCATTTTCAAAGAAGGCAGTTACTCAGAATATTTTTACTCAACAAAATGATTTTATCCTCACCTCCTGAGTCTGAAGGTTGCACTGGCTGCCTCCTGGGGTAGATAGTTCAATGGGGAGAAATCTCTCATCTACACTCTTGTTGCTTTTGCACTTGGCGTTCTGTCTGTCTCTTGGGGGCCTTTAATGGAGACATGTTCATTGTGATTTCAATATAGATGGATTTATTTTTTCCCTTTGCTGAATAAATTTATCATGAATGGTCTCTGCAAAAATATAATGGTGGCTCTGCCTGCAATTTTTACAAAGTTATATACCTTCTTGTCTATGAGAAGTTTGAAAGCAATAGTTAAATATAGTTATTCCATGAAGGCACAATTGTAATAATAACCAGAGTTTTGGCAAACATGCACCAAAGTATATCAACTTGATTCCTGCCTTTACTCCCTTTATCTCTGTCTTTAGCCTGATGACGTATGTTACATCTCACCCACGTCCCTGTCAGTTTACTAACATAGACGTACTGCCTACGACACCAACATTCTTTTTATTTTGGCACAGTGTGCTTTCTGTAGCCAGTGGACTTCCTGATTTTGCCTCAATTCCAGTCCTGACCTTGCTGTTAACCAGCTGTGTGACCTTAGCCAAATCACTTAATATCTCTGGGCCTTCATTCAACAAACACTTATTGAGTATCTACCTTGTATGAAGCATCGTGACAGCAGGCTAAGAGGAGGCCCCTACCCTAAAGAAGCTTCAAATTTAGTAGGAGAAAAATAAAGAACGGGAGGAGGAAATGAAGAGAGAGAAGAAAGACAGACCAAAAAAACCAAACCAAACCAAAACAAAACTGGTGTCAAATGAAGCTTAGAAAGAGAGACTGTATTTAGCTTATCTTTTTGTACCAATACCACCAAAAGGAAAACACAAAGTAAACTGCTGTCCCATGTCCCAGGCCAGCCCCTGGTTCCCATTTCTAGAGAACTGCCTCACCTACTGGAAAAGATTTAAGCATCAGAGTCTGCTGACACAGGAAAAGGAGGCAGAAGGAAAGGCTGGCTATACTCAGAGAACTTCAGGAGGTAAGGGAAGAAAAGTCACACATATCAAATCAATGATGTATTGTTTTTCAATTTTTATGTGTATTGTGAATATTGTTCATGAGTATTATTTTAAGTATTTTTTTAAAAAATCCTGATTAATTTTTATTGCAAACAATCCACATTCATTATAAAAGAGAAAACAAGAAAAGAAGAAATCTGAAAACGCTCACGATCCCATGCACGTAGGCAACCACTCTCAGTACCTTTTTTTTGGTGTAGATCATTTAAACACACATGTAATTATTTTAAACACACATGTAATTATTTCACTTTACAAGAGTGGGATTATACTATCCTTGTTGTTCTAATGACTTCCTCTATAGAAAGGAAAAACCTGTATTTTAGACACATTAATAAAAATAGTTCTTATGTGCTGACTTTCCTAAGTTAGTATATTTTAATTACTCTCAATGAGAAATCTTGTAAAGCAAACAAGAGTCTATGTCGATGGATGACACATTTTGCTCCCATTTTCAAGGAAACATATTTAAAAACCAAGAAGATATTTAACATGGAAAGGCTATAGTGTATGCATTTGTTTTTAGTGTCAAAGTTCCAAGAATCATGGACCTTACTGCATTTATTTTCATTCAGCTTTGAGGGTCAGGAGGAAAAAAGATTTATGAACTAAGATGTTTAATGATTACAAAAACTGCATCTGTTTGCTCCTAAGAGTGATCTTTTTCACATGCCATAAAGGAGTTCCATCACATTGATAAATTGTTCCCAACCATTTGAATTAAGGATATAAAGAAATTTGTTCTCATCAGGCCATGAGCTTTCACTGAGTAAAAATACATAGTTCAGATTTTCAATTAATGTAAATATCATCATTCCCTGAATGGCAAGAACCACATCTAGTATAAAACTTCTCTCCAAACTGACACATAAATTCACAGACTCACCTGCTCATCACTTGTGATGATCAAGAAATTGTCCATCTTTCAGAGAGATCTGACCATGGAGGATGGCAGCTTTCTGTTCTCTTGCATTCATATTCAAAAGGAAAAGAGATAAACGTTAGAGGCTTTCTAGAAAGGTTCAAGTTCAGTTCCATCGTTATACCATGGCTTCCCTTTTGAGAAGGGAGACTTAAAGCAGCCACAATTTGATGCCCTTTTAGGGGTGCCATGATTGTCTTTGGTTATGTGCCTTTATGTAAAGGAATTCATCTTCACCTCCCCTGACATTGATGTCTCATTAGGTGGAAGACAAAAGTGACACTGTCTTTGTGGGTAGATCTCACCCAGCCTCAAACCCAGTGGTAGACTCTAACCTACAGGGGGATGTTGGTGATAAGAAAGGATGCAATTCAAAAAAATAGGGAAAAGGTTGCAATTCAGAATGCCATTCATACACATTGTTGTTGAAGACAGCTCCAAGTTGGCCTTGTCTATTTTGGGTCGACTGTATTTTCTCTGCGTTTAATTTCACAGAAGTGGAACCCTCTGGGTTGGGTTCTCCTCCCTCTGGTCTTTAAGCTAAATTCAATTCCTGCTTCCATCTTCCTTAAACAACTGCCCTTTCCCTTGAGTATTCAGCATTATACTCCTCTTCAGTGCATCTTTTGCCACCATCTAAAGGAAAACAGGAACATCAGAGGCTGTGTTCTGGAAGGACTCAGGAGGAACACAAAATATCTCTTAGACTGGATGTTGAAAAGCCGTTGACCCTGGGGACTCTCCCATGCCCCTCCCCATAGAACAAATGTGGTTGTGTTTGGCCAGCATTCCATCTGTGATACACTGATTCTGATCTGGAAGTCAAAATAGCTCAGGAGGTTATAGAGAGAGCTCACCTTGAGCAAGAACAGCTCTTATTTTTGGTAGACATATGTAGAAAGCTTGGATTTATGCCTTATTCCAGGAAGCTGGCACTCACCTGGCTAAGTATTTCTTGCCTGCCTAATCAAGTCTGGCTCTAAGGCTACACACCAACCTGTCTTTCTCTATCCCTCAACATTCTAGGAACATATACCATGTTGTGTCCATTGGTAACTATTTGTATCATAGGTCAAATGCTAAACAGAATCCATGTGCTACTCCCCAGAGTGTATTTGTTTAGTAGTTGTAGTATTTGCTCAGAAGAAATTTCAAGGCTTAATTAAAGCAGATGAAGAAGTGTGAATGGTGGTTAATGTGACCACCCAACAGTCAAGATTTCATTAAACATGCATCATACAAATCCAGCTTTGTTGCCTGCTATTGCATAGAGTAGTCTATAATTAGGACTACTGCTTAGCATTAGTGAGTGTAGGATTGCAGAGGTAGATAAGTGACAAATACTATCTTTACTCCCTTCTTTTCTTTTTTTTGCCAGGGCTTATGGTATTCATTCATTCATTCATTCATTCAACAAAACTTGTATTGAACACCTGCTATGTGCTAGGCACTGGTTAGCACTAAGAATTAGCACTGAAAAGACAGACAAATCCCTCCTATCCTGGAGGGGGGTATATGCGTTTGACCATGAAAGCTAGTTATTACATGTAAGAAAAAAGGGGAAGAGGTAAATTTTAGAAAGGAAATCCCTGTCTTTCAGTTTAAAAACTTGCCTTCTGAGACCATGCCCAGGCTTTGGGAGTCCAGTGGTCATTCATTCTATGCAAATGACTCAAACCTCACTCATCTTTTTGAAATACTCTTATTCTATTCCAGTCATTTGAAGGCTAGGATTTAAGAGCTTTTGCTTTCTTATTTTTCTGGCTGTCTCATCCTGTCTTTTAAACCATGACAGAAAAGGATTAATAGCCAGGAGAACAGAGGGCCTGACAACTCAATTCTGTCACCCAAGAGTACTTATTAAGCTGCCACCTGTACATAGCCCTGTGCTAGATGCTCTTGCTAATAGCATGTGTGTGTCTCTTCTCCCTGCAGGACCTTGGCACACACCAAACTCTACAGGAAACTGCAGCTTGAAGGCCCATGGTGAGTGTTGGGTCTAGGTCTTGGACGAGGCTTCAATGTGTGAAAAAGAGGTAGATCTGGGTCTGAAGTTAATTACATCCCAACGAGCTTGCACTCAGGGACGTTGTGGGGAGGGGCTGCTGGGTGATAAGGTGAAGGTTAATGACACTATTCCATATTGAAAAGTCTATGTTGTATCAACAGAGATAGACTTTTTTTTTTTTTTTAACAATGACATAATTGACCATAACTGCTCCGTGGGTGCACCGAATACAACCGTGGAAAGGGGTAAGTATTAGAAGCCATATACACACAAACACCCTTACATCTGTGTATACCCCAAGCACTTTGCCAAGGAGACTCATTCTACCGTCTTTGGGTTTTCAAATGACTGTGGCATCAGCTAAAATTGGGAGAACTTAACTTTTGGATGTTGCGTGAAACCCATTTGAAGATACCAAAATGCAGCAGCCTAGCCTGGAGAGGGTTTAGGATTTCTTACAGGGAGATTTTAAAGCAAGGTCATAATTTCTGCATCACAACTGGGAAAGGCTTGACAAGGAGTCAACAGGGCAGGTTTGAAAACTGTGTCCGCCTTGGTATGTCCCAGGAGTGGAATGCGTGCTCTGTGAATACTTGCCAAATGAAGCTCTTCAAATGTAAGAAAAATGGGCAAGGCTGCCTTCCATCACCCAAGGGCAGGAGAAGAGTGGACACAGGAACAGTCTCAGTCTCAGCTTTCTTTTCTCTAAAATGGGGCTGTTGCCTTAATTTTGAAGATTACATGGGACAATAACATGAAAATATTTTTCAATTTTGAACATGAGCATGGATGTAAACAACAATTCTTATTAATAGGTTAGCTTTCTGTTTAAATGTTTCAACTTACTAAGGGTAAGAGTGGAAGAAGGCTTTAAAAGGAGATGTTCTTTGTTTGGATACATAATATTTAAAATGCACGTGACTCAGCTCCCTCCTGCAGGTTGTTTAAAATGGAGTTTAAGGAGACAAAAGCAGGAGAGTTTCAAGGGTCGCCCTTCATGGTGGTTTACCTAGGCCTGAGGGCAGTCTCCAGATGCAGGACTACCTGGGCTAATGCCTGGATAAGTTGCTCACTCTCTCTTGTTCAACCTCCTTCATTCCATGACCTCTAATTTGAGTCCTTTCACTTCTAACAGAGTTCAAATAAACCTATGAAAATCAGGGCAAAAGCCTTTGAGGGACTGGCAAAGAAGCTACCCCTGTGGTTCTGGGTGAGATTTCAGGGGTGAGAGCAGAAGGAAAAATACTCTATCACATTCCATTTACTCTCCCAGCCTCCTGTTATCCATCTTGGAAAAGAGCTGTGAGTTAAACAATGCACACCCAACACTGCCCACCTGAAATCAGTCACCGTGTGACTCCCAGGCTTCTCCAACCACAAATATGCAAGAATAATGTTTCCAGAGTGTCAGTGGATAACATAAGTTCTACTGAGCTCAAACTTGGAAGGCAAGTAATCAAGGTGTTTACCTGATGAATGAAGAGGGGGGAAAAGGCAGTATCATTTCAAATATATCTAGCATTTCCCCATTAAACCACGAAACCTGCAGGTATTAATCATCAAAATAAATGTGCCCTGCCCTTAGGTGCGTGCAGCCTTGCATGAGAGAAAGCACCAGTACAGAGCTTCATTTCATCAAATTACCGAAGATGAAATGAATTTTGAAACAATATCCCAGGTGAATTAGACATTTAGCTACTTAACAAGATGCTTTGCTAGGACCCTCGTTTATTATTTTGAGACGTTAAGTCAGTTCCTGCCAATAATTCAGTACTGTCCTGTTCACATCTCCATTACTCCACGGGCAGAAGATTCCAGGGCTAATGGCCAGACCCTTTTGTATCTTGAGTTTGGCATTGGAAATGGTTCTGAGAGCATCCCACTGAGCCAAGAGTCAAGTTAGAGATCTCCTGTGCAGAAAAGGGGTGGGCATTCCATTATTCTGCAACATAGCAGAGTAAAATAAGTAGGATTTCATTTAAGCTGGGTTTCTCTTTTAGATTAGGTTAAATGGCCAAGATGCTAAAAGCTTCCTGTCGTCCAGGAGTCGAGTGCCTCTGTCTGCTGATTCTGACCATTCTGGCTGTTATCATATTCTGAAAAGCTTTTGATAATTGTCTTAACTGTAGGGAGACATCTCATGTGTCTTGCTAAGAACCGGCACATTTTCATATCGAAAAGGTACTGCTGCTCCTTCTATAAGTGTCTTCCTTCCTTCCGGGGCATTTTCAAGGCAAGACTGAGAGTTTTAAACCAAACTGTGATTTTGAGTTTCAAATGTTAGTCCTCATTTTGGGGAGGAAAAATGTTTAGAGGACAAGTCAGAATATCAATATTTCAAAGTGTACCCTCTAGAAAGATATCTGTTTTGGAAGGAAGTTCTTGAAACAGAGAAAGCTCATTTCCCAGTTAAAAAAAAAAAAAAAAAAAAGATACAACTTAGAAAAGGATAAAGCAGTAGTATCACCAAACTTCCCTCCCCCATCTCTGGTCTGACCTGGCCCACCAAGGACCACTCTCCTCTCTGATCGAGGCCAGAGGGAGGGGTCCTTCAGCAGCAGAAAATCCTCTTCCACCCCCTGGTTGATGCTTAAAATTCTACTATTACGACTTAATCCCTTTAGTTTCAGCTTTGATCCCAGTTAAAATGCAAATACCTCTGGGTGGGGTAACATTTTTAAACTGTTATCAGCCCTTTCCAGTCCACTGAGGAGGAAGGAGCAGGGCAAATTTCGCTAGGGTTGTGAGGAGAGGTCTGGAGGCCAGAGAACTCTGGAGGAAATGAAGTGTGAACACAGCAGGAGAGCTCCCAGGGGCAAAAACCAACCAGCCTCTCCCAGCTGCCGAATCAGGACAGGATCTGAAAACAGGACAGCATACATCTATGTAGAAATCCCTCCACCCAAGAAGGCGAGAAAAGCATTTGCTGAACAATGGGACAAGCTACCATTCTACTAAGAGATCATTCCAACTGTTGGGGCTCATTCTATGTTAATATAATGGCTAATCCTCAGGGTTCAGCCTTTCTGTTCTAACTTTAACTAAAAGGAGAAGTTTAGCCTTGTTAAAGCTATTATCTGTTCCTAAACTGCATAGTATATAAAATGTAAATGTGATCACACCACTCTTAAATTATTATAACAATACGCCATTCTGTTTTCTTCCCCTTGACATTTACAAAATTCATTTGGAAGAGTGGGATCTACCTCACAGAGATTAGTGATAAATCATGTATTTTTAATGAATATCAATAGGAGAAACCCCATGACATAGCCCACCATCTAATTTGATTAAACTGTGCTTAAGGCAACACTACCTCTCTGGCTAGGGAATAGCTCCATAATGACTTTGTGAGCATTATTGCAGGCTGTTTTAATGATTTAATGAACTGCCTCTATATTTAGTTCAATAGCCTTAAAATGATTAGTGTTTAAGAAAAATTAGCTCACTTTGATTTGATTCTATTTGATGGTAAGTTTAAATAACCTAACCCTTCAAAACACAGTGGAAAAAAAATCCTAGAATCACAGCCAGCTAACTGCTAGAAAACATTATGCCCATCATTAATAACCGTTCATTTATGTTTAGCTACAGTATCCAGCCTGACATGCTCATCCGAGGAGCTGGGCTGTAGGAACCGGGCTAATGCTGCATTTCATCTTCCCTTTCTACCATGGGGAAGGGGCGGGGGAGGGGTGGAGATGGGCAAAGCATGAAAGAGTCTTCAATTTCATATGTTGGGCTATAAGGAATTTTCTCTAGTTCAGATCCAAAGTGGGTATCTGTCAACACTTGGGAGACGTCCCAGGTTTCTAAAGGAGGAGGAGGGGAAAATTGGTGTGAGGTTTTGAGCCAACCCCTCCTGCTGTGATGTGGGCAGCCAGCATGGTTAGGCCTGAGCAGTGTGGTCAGGAAGCTCCCTGGGACACCCTGATTGGGAGTCAGGGAAGCTTTCTGCAAAGAGGACTGAGGCAGATGGCACTTTTTAACAAGGGTAAGTGATCTGAGAGTTGGTGTGACACGACAGGGACCAGAGCCAACTCCTTATTCCGAGGTGAAAAAGGTCATGGCACACAAATAGAAGTCTGTTCTGTCATATCCCCACGGGCCACCACAGCACTTCCACACCCCAAAACATGGAAAGTAATCGCAGTGTTGGGGAACCAACTACTGCACTTCATCTGAAACATCCAGGCCAATTGTCTTCTGATGGTGTAGAACAGTGTGAAATCATCTTAGAGAAAAGTCAGAGATTGGAAAGTCTACTATTTGAGAATAATCATAGGGAATATTTATTGAGCACTCACTAAATCCCAGGCTCTCTTTACTCTTCACATCATCTCTAAGAGGTAAATAGTGTGATTCTCCCCACTTGCAGCAAAGAAGCCAAAGCAGAGCTAGCAAGCAGCTTGCCCATGGCATGGCCACGCAGCTAAGGGGAGGCAGGGACAGGGTGGTGTGGGACAGACTTGAACCCAGGTCTGTTTGACTTCAGGTCCATTGCTCTTACCCACTTTGTCACATTGCCTTTCACGCCCACTCTGTTTCATGTGATATGCTGAGAGTGAGTATTCGGAGTTAGAAACAGGGACAGATTTAAACAAAATGAATGTGAAAAGAGGATTGGTGAATATCTAGTGATTCACCAAATGAGGCCGCTCACCCCAGTCTTCATTACTCAGAGCTGTCGCTGTGCGTTCCTGGGCCTTAGGGGCAAGAATATAATCCACTAACCGTCACCACTCCTTGTCCTTAGGAAAGGAGGAGAAATATTTCTCAATGAACCATTGTCATCTTGATGACAAAGCCCTGTATTTCTTGGCATGTATTATGTATTCCCAAGACACTTTTCCTCTCTGTCTCTGTTAATGTCCCCCTTCATCCACACCTCCAGCCCGCCCCTTCCCACATTCAGATATGTGCACACATGCACAGGCATACGTTTCAGTTCCGTTGGAAGGCTGTTACTGAGCCCCTA